TTGACAAAGGAGGCAAAAATATACAATGAAAAAAAGACAAGCTCTTTAACAAGTGGCACTGGGGAAACTAGTCAACCACCTGTAAAAGAATGAAACTAGAACAAACACCATACACAAAAATAAACTCAAAATGGATTAAAGATCTAAATGTAAGACCAGAAACTATAAAACTCCTAGAAGAAAACATAGGCAAAACACTCTCTGACATAAATCACAGCAAGATCCTCTATGACCCACCTCCCAGAGTAATGGAAATAGAAGCAAAAATAAACAAATAGGACCTAATGAAACTTAAAAAGCTTTTGCACAATGAAGGAAACTATAAGCAAGGTGAAAAGACAGGCTTCAGAATGGGATAAAACAATAGCAAATGAAGCAACTGACAATTAATCTCAAAAATATACAAATAGTTCATGTAGTTCAATACCAGAAAAATAAATGATCCAATCAAAAAATGGGCCAAAGAACTAAACACACATTTCTCCAAAGAAGACATACAGATGCCTAACAAACACATGAAAAGATGCTCAACATCACTCATTATCAGAGAAATGCAAATCAAAAACCACAATGAGGTACCATCTCATGTCAGTCAGAATGGCTTTTATCAAAAAGTCTGCAAGCAATAAATGCTGGAGAAGGTGTGGAGAAAAGGGAATCTTCTTACACTGTTGGTGGGAATGCAAACGAGTGGAGCCACTACGGAGAACAGTGTGGAGATTCCTTAAAAAGCTGAAAATAGATCTGCCATATGACCCAGAAATCCCACTGCTGGGCATACACAGTGAGGAAGCCAGAATTGAAAGAGACATGTGTACCCCAGTGTTAGTCGCAGCACTGTTTACAACAGCTAGGACATGGAAGCAACCTAGATGTCCACTGGCAGATGAATGGATAAGAAAGCTGTGGTACATATACACAATGGAATATTACTCAGCCATTAAAAAGAATACATTTGAATCAGTTCTAATGAGGTGGATGAAACTGGAGCCTGTTATACAGAGTGAAGTAACCCAGAAAGAAAAACACCAATAAAGTATGCTAACGCATATATATGGAATTCAGAAAGATGGTAATGATAACCCTATATGCAAGACAGCAAAAGAGACACAGATGTATAGAAAAGTCTTTTGGACTCTGGGAGAAGGCAAGGGTGGGATGATTTGAGAGAACAGTATTGAAACATGTATATTATCATATGTGAAACAAATCGCCAGTCCAGGTCCGATGCATGAGACAAGTGCTCAGGGCCTGTGCATTGGGATGACCCAGAGGGATGGGATGGGGAGGGAGGGGCGTCTCAGGATGAGGAACACATGTATACCCAAGACTGACTCATGTCAATGTATGGCAAAACCACTACATTATTGTAAAGTAATTAGCCTCCAATTAAAACAAATAAATTAAAAAATAAAACTAAAAAATAAAAAAGAAAGAAAGAAAGAAAAATACCAATACAGTATATCAACACATGGAGTCCCTAGCGGCTCAGACGGTAAAGAGTCTGCCTGCAGTACAGAAGACGTGGGTTTGATTTCTGGGTCAGAGAGACCCAGGAAGATCCTGTGTTGGGAAGATCCCCTGGATAAGGCAATAGCAACCCACTCCAGTATTCTTGCTTGGAGAATTCCACCGCCGGAGGAGCCTGGCAGTCTACAGTCCAAGGGGTCGAAAAGAGTCAGTTACAACTGAGTGACTTCACTTTCACTTTTACTTTTCAGGGAATTTAGAAAGATGGTAACAGTGACCCTATTTGTGAGACAGCAAAAGAGACACAGATATAAAGAATAGACTTTTGGACTCTGTGGGAGAAGGCGAGGGTGGGATGATTTGAGAGAATAGCATTGAAACATGTATATTACCATATGTGAAATAGATCACCAGTCCAATTTCAGTGCATGAAACAGGGCACTCAAAGCTGGTGGACCAGGACAACCCAGAGGGATGGGATGGGGAGGGGGGTGGGAGGGGGTTTGGGATGGGGGAACACATGTACACCTGTGGCTGATTCATGTCAGTGTATGGCAAAACCACCACAATATTGTAAAGTAATTAGCCTCCAATTAAAATAAACTAATTAACATTAAAAAAAAATTTAAAGAAAGGCAGAGTGCCACATGTAACACCTTATTTGGATATAATCTGGAGTCTCGGAAGCTTCACCATCCAATGTCCTACAAATGGATCACAAAAGCTTGTTTGGAGGCTCTACCAGGGAAGCACAGCCACTTGTATAACCTTGACCAGGGAACAGTCCTCCTCTATCTGGCAAGGTTGTCCTCTTGGATCGAGCACACAGCTTCAGGAGGGATGCACATGGAGTGGTGAGGTAGGAAGGTCAGTCCAACCAACCCTGGCAATTATGGGATGACAGATGTTGCAGCCAGATCACCCATAGATCCAATACAATAGAGAGAATTCACAATCCCACATTCAACCCATTTAAATCATGCATTTCGGTGGCTTGTTATTATTCACAGAGCTGTGCAACCATCACCAAATCTAATTTTACAAGATTTTGGTTACCCCAGAAAGAAATCTTATGCTCATTCCTCCACTACCACTGCCCCTGACCCCCAGCCCCAGACAAGTACCTTTCTACCCACGTTCTCTATAGATATGCCTATTCTGGACATTTCATATAAATGAAATCTTACAGTATAATGTTATTTATGATTGGTTTCTTTCACTTAGCACAGCATTTTCAAGGTCTATTCAAGTTGTAGTGTGTGTTATAAGTCATTCCTTTCTACAGCTGAATAATGTTTCATTGTGTTAATGTTCCATATTTTATTTATCCAATCATCAGTTGATGGACATTATGAATAATGCTGCAATGAATATTCATGTACACATTTGCTTGTGTGGAGATTCTTTGCATTTCACTTGAATACCTAGGCATGGAACGACTAGGTCATACGGAAACTCTAGTTTTAAATTTTTGAGGCACTCCAATACTGTCCAAGGTGGTTGCACAATTTTACATTCCTACAAGCAATGGATGAGGGTCAGGGATGATTTTGGAAACTTAATCTGTAAGCTCCTCTCTTACATGACATGTGCTCAGATCCACTGCTGTGTGACCTTGAATGTGCTGGGTACCAAAAATGCTAGTGGACCTGAATCTTGTGAGAACATTATCTGTCTCTGAAGGCCTCTGTGTGGATCAATGAGTTACAGGGCAGCAGCCCAGGGTAGGTCTTCAAGCAGGGCTGGAGGTCTGCCATTGCTGGTCCTCAGTAGGAAAAACATAAGTAACAAAGACATATGAATTACAGAACAATTACCATTATCCTCTTGAGAGTCCCTTGGACTGTAAGGAGATGAAACCAGTCAATCCTAAAGGAAATCAGCCCTGAATATTCATTGGAAGGACTGGTGCTGAAGCTGAAGCTGAAGCTCCAATATTCTGGCCTCCTGATGAGAAGAAGACCCTGATGCTGGGAAAGATGGAAGTCAAATGGCGAAGGGGGATGCAGAGGATAAGATAGCATCACTGATACAATGGACATGAGTTTGAGCAAACTCTGGGAGATGGTGATGGACAGGGAAGCCTGGTGTGTGGCAATCCATGGGGTCACAAAGAATCAGACACAACAGAGCGACTGAACAGCAACAACATCATTATCCATCTCCAGGACAGAGTACAAGTAATTTAGGGCAGACAGGGCTCAGGCACAGGAGCCAGCCTTTGCATGAGGATGAACCCCTGCCTCTTTGACCCGGGCACAGGCAGGGAACAGCAGGACTGTGCCCAGATATTAGCAGGGACAGAGCATGGGGACGGTGAACGGAGAAGACCCAAGCCAGCTAGTGGCGCGAAGTGGTCCTGTCCTGCCCAACCTTGAAATAACAGGTTCACCTGGCTCCCTTTCCCCAACATTAAGTTCTTCTAGAACTCAAGCCTACAGCATCCTGGGCTCCATGAAAGACCAACCTTAGGTGAGAAGGATGAGTGACAGTCCATTTCACTTCCTGTTCTGTCAGGAGAAAACTCATCCAGGAAACTCTCAAACCAACTGCAAAGGTAAAATGAGAAAGTGATTAAAACAGCGATGGGTGAAGGTCAGCCCTAATTTAAGCCGGGAGGGGCACAGATCTCACTATATGGCCCCTGACAGACAACCCTAAGCTTTTTCAACAAAACACAGTTGAGCACGGAGATTACACTGAGGCGGCTTCACTGGTGGTTCAGTGGTAAAGAATCTGCCTGCAATGCAGGAGACCCAGGTTCGATCCCTGGGTCGGGGAGATCCCTTGGAGGAAGTCATGGCAACCCAATCCATTATTCTCGCCAGGAGAATCCCATGGACATACACCCCATGGAGCCGGGTGGGCTACAGTCCATGGGGTCGCAAAGAGTCAGACAGGACTGAGCAACTAAGCAGCAGCATTTTACTTAGCACAGCCCCGGAATCCGTCCATCACTAGGAACCCCAGCGAGGAGGAACTTGGCAGCAAGTGGAGACTCTGCTGAAATGTCTGAGAGAGGACCGTGTACTGGGGACCAGAATGTTGAGGACATAAAAGGCCCGGTTAGTGCAAGTCAGACGAAGCTGCGGCTTTACTGGTGCAACCAGCTTGAAAATGGCACAGTTGTTTGCAGTTTATCACCTGCCAACACCAAAGAGGGTTCATCGCTGAAATCCGGCTTAGATGCTCAGGGGTCTGTTTGTGGATTCTTTTAATTTGCAGAGATCTCAAGAGGAGCAACAGCCGAACAGAACCAGCCGCTCACCTGGGTGAAGCTCCGCCCGCGAGAGCCGCGCCGGCCTCGCCCCCCGCGCTCCGCCCGGCTCCGCTCGCTCGCCGCCCGCCCGCCCGCCGCCGCCGCCGCCGCCGCCGCAGCTGCTGCCGAGCCGCCCGGGCACGCGGCGCGGCCGGGCTCCGGGGCGAGGGCTGCGCTCGCCGCGCGCCGCGCTCCTGCACACCTGCTCCCGGGCGCCGCGCCCAACGCTGCGGCCAGAGCGGGCCGGCGGGGCTGCTGCCCAGGTGCGCCGTCAGCTCAGGGGGCCGCCGGCAGGTCGGCAGGTGGACCGAGCCGCACTCGCGGGCGTGAGCTCATCCCGGGCGCCCGGCACCCCGACTGCGCAGCAAGCGGCCTTCCGTGCTCCGGCCCTCAGCCTCCGCATCCAGGCAGCAGGCGGGCGGGCAGGCTCATCTTTTCCTCTCCTGCGGCCCGAATCACATTGATCCCTCGCTAACCTTCCCTGGCTGGGAGGCGGGCGGGCGGGCGAGGAGCGAGAGGAGCGGAGGCGAGCGGGGACCCCCCTCCCCTGCCTCTGGCCGCTGGGGCGCCCTGCAGCCTTAAAGCTCAGCCCAGTCTCCGGAGAGGGAGGGAGGCAGGAACCCCGGGGATGGATGGAGTCCATTCAACCCGGAAAACGAAACAGTGGACTGGCCTGCCTACCTATATTCCGGGTCCTTCATGGAAATCCAGTCTTACGTCATTGTTGATGGCGTCTGTTTTTTATAAAACTAAAGAGATATTATATTGCACTCATAAACGTGCCAACTTTAAAACAAGTGATCAAATTACCTGTGACACTTCCTGCTTTTCAGAGAGCTGCTCCTCCTCCTGGGATAGCTGTAGATAGTAGTAATACCTACTAATAGGAGGTATTAGTAGACTGGGCTCATTTTCCAGCAGAGAAAACAGGCCTAGAGAACTGTGATCTGCAGGCTAATAAGCAAGCGCTTGAGGAACTAGACTCACTCATGTCTTTCCAGATGCAGGTGGGTATAGATAAGGCTGCTGTTACCCTCTGTGGCTGCCCGCATTGTCCTCACATTCCCTAAATTGTGTAGAAAACATTTTCTAAATCCTTTGTGGGTCGTTCCCTAAAGGCCTAAAAATAGACAATGCTTCCTAGAAGCTAGAGGGTTTCCAGTTAACCATGGAGAGCCAGACACAAGCTCCCCCTAGGAAGCTGACTCCAGTGACAGAACTGTGCGCATCCTGTTGCTCAGTCGTGTCTGACTCTGAGCAATCCCGTGGACTGTAGCCTGCCAGGCTCCTCTGTCCTTGGGATTCACCAGGAAAGAATACTGGAGTGGGTTGCCATGCCCTCCTCCAGGGGATCTTCATTGAACCCCAAAAGACAGGATGGGAGGGGAGATGACCACGGATGGAAAATGCCAATTTAGCTTGAAAAGCCTTGAGAGGGGAGTTTGTGTGTTGACTTGACTGTAGAAGAGGGTGAAAGCTTTGTCTGTGGGGAGGGATCCATGAGAGGCAAAGTGGTTGACCAGTTGCTCAGTTATGTCTGATTCTTTGCAGCACACCAGGCTTTCCTGTCTTTTACCATCTCCCAGAGGTTGTTCAAACTCATATCCATTGAGTCAGTGATGCCATCCAACATCTCCTCGTCTGTCACCCTCTTTTCCTCTTGCCCTCAATCTTTCCCAGCATCAGGGTTTTTCCCAGGTTGGGCTTGAGGAATCTGGAAAGACTGAGGGACCTGGAGGAGCCAGGAGTCGTCAAGGAGAGGTGGTAATCCACGGGGCCCCCTCCGCAGTCGTCTCCCAGAAGATCCTGGCAGGAGACTGGGACAGACCTCCAGAGAGCATCTGGAAGCAGTTTTAGAAACCCTGGAAAACCGGATGGGGTTAGGTTCTCAGGGAACAAAAAGGAATTCAGTTGAGAGCCGAGTGCCTCCCTTCTCCTTGCTCAGACTACAGAATGCAGGCAGCCAAGCTTCCACCACCTGTGCCTACAACCTCCAGTCCCTCCATGAAACTGTTAGGGGAAGCACACTGATTGAAACCGCCCACCCTGGCCAGGCACCATAGTAACCATTTGCATGAGTTGTTAAATGGCAGGAGACACTGGTAAGGAATATGGGACTAATAAGCCACCACCAACTGGAAGAGTTCGGGAAAGATCGAAAGGAGACACTGCGTGTCCGTCCACTTCCCAGAGTCCCTCTCGCTAGCATCCATCTTGGCTGAGCTACACGTGCGCCACCAGGCAAGACTCTGAATTAGAATGATTGGCCAAAGACCACCCGGAAACTAATCCCATCACCATCCCATCACCTGTTCTCCTGGGCTCCCTCACCCTCCTGCTCTCCACGCAGGTGCCCTTCCCAATAAAATCTCTTGTTTTGTCAGCACGTGTCTCCTCCGACGATTCTTTTCTGAGTGTTAGACAAGAGCCCACTCTTGGGGCCCTGTAGGGGGCCTCCCCCTGCCTACATCAAAATCACAGACTGCTCTTTGGGGAAGTGATTTTCATAGGAGAAAAGACCCACAGAGCCTGGCATTTGGTGGGGGTCAGGGCTCCCCAGTGGAAAAGCCTAGAGAGAAGCCTGCTAATTAACAAGCACTTCCTCCCAACTCATGCACATGATATGTAGGTTTCCTATTAACAACTTTGATTCACTTTCTGAAATATAAATGTACATCCAAGGAGTGACATACATTTTAAGAAAAGCCAAGACTAAGTAGAAGGAAAGTCTTATAATTAATGACCCTTGAGAAATGGCCAAACCATTTTCAACCATGAAACAGATATGTCATGATATGAAAAGAATTACTTACATAAAAATGAGCTCTGGAAAAGTGAAAATATGAGAGCAGAAATTTTTTTAAAAAATCAATAAAATGATTGGAAAATAAAGTTGTCAGGAAGTTTCCCCCAAAGAAAAAGGATGGAATGTAGAAGAAAAAAAAAAAGCTATAACATGAATCAAAGGGAGCCAATGGCTGACTTATAAGAGCTTCTGAAAAAGAGAATCAAGTCTTTGGAGAGAAAAAATATTATTAAGAAAATTATTCAAGAAAATTTCTAAGAACTGAAGGACATGAGCTTTGGGAATGCAAAGGTGCTTTGAATACCCACAACAAAAATGTCCACACTGCTATATTTAAAATAGATAACCAACAAAGACCTACTATATAGCACAGGGAGCTCTGCTCAATGCTCTGAAATAACCTACATGGGAAAAGAATTTGAAAAAAGAACAGATACATGTATATGTATAAAAAACAACAATAAAATAAACCTGGAGTAGATCTTTAAACCAAAATAAATAAAGGATTCCAGAACACTTCATTATGAAATTTCTGACCCCTAGGAAGAAGGGGAATACCCTAAAAGTTTCCTAAAATCTTTCCCATTAAAGATCATGGTTCAGAAGGGCATCATATCTCTCGATAATAACGCTAGGACACAGAGAAGCAAAGTCTAAAAACCCAAGGAAGAGGAATGGCTAGCTTACCCTGGCCTATCCATCAACCTTCTACCTATAGGGTAGAAAAAAGAAAAACATTTCTAAAATGTCACCTTCCATGAATCCTTTCTCATAAAACTGGTGGAAGACTTACTTCACCAAAACTAGGTCATGAAGCATGGAAGAGAAAGACATTCCCCACGCCCTCCCTAAGAAGGCAGGGATCCCTAAGAGAGACAGGCAGAGAGGAAGGCAGGAGAACTGAGAAGCAGGGTCCCAGGAGGAGAGTTGTCAATTATTATCAAGTGCAACCAGTCCACACTGGAGCAGGGCACAGAGAGCAAGAATGAGGATTCTTTATTTTTTAATTTTTTTAATTTTTTTTAAGAATGCGGATTCTAAGAAAAAAATTTGTAGATGATAACAGACTACATGATGTGTCTGAATGAATGGAAAGATTGATAATTCTCTTTGCATGTGTAGGACCAAAAATGATAGTTATGTAGAAAACAAAGCCAGTGGAAGAAATGAAGCACCTGACACCCTCAGGAATAGCAAAATTTGTACAAGAAAGGAAATATAATTGCAGGACTTTACTGGCCTAGTGTGATTACTGTTTACACAGTGATCATGTAAATGCTGAAAATGAATTGACCTAAAGTCAGCACACTAGTATATTAGAAGGGCAGGGAGGAGAAGTGCCTTCTTACCTGGTAGAAGAAAGAAGTGTAATGGATTAATTCCATCATTCTGTAACTCTGGCATCCATAGTGTGAAGCCAGTAGGTAACTTCTTCAAGAATGAAATGAAGAAATCACAATGAAATTAAGTTTACTGAGTTCAAAAAATGGAGATATAAACACCAGAAAAGAAAAAAAAAGCCTTTTGAAAATTGAAAATAATTTCTGACTAGTGCAAGTTGGGGGCAGGAAGGGGTAAAGAGATGTTATTTATTTATTTTTTAAAGCCAGAAATGCTAGAGTAAAATGGCATTAAAAAAAAAAAAAGTGCTATTTAAAATAAGTTGTGTCATGCAGGGTGACAGGATCCCCTGGTAGCTCAGCTGGTAAAGAATCCACCTGCAATGTGGGAGACCTGGGTTCGATCCTGGGTCTGGAAGATCCCCTGGAGAAGGAAATGGCAACCCACTCCAGTATTCTTGCCTGGAGGATCCCATGAACAGAGGAGCCTGGTGGACTATAGTCCATGGGGTCGCAGAGAGTTGGACACAACTGAGCAACTTGTATATATATATATATATATACATATATATATATATGAATGGCCAGGGTGAGCCCGCCTGTACTGGGGCTCAGGGTACTTGGCCCAGTCCCTGTGGGTCCTTTGTGCAGTTGAGCACCACCTGGTGGCCAAGATGCCACTGACATGACCTGTTGACCAGGGATGGATTGGGTTGTATGGTTGCCTGAATACCCAGGAAAGTGTCTGTAGTTCCTGAATTCTGGTGACTGGACACCGGTTTGATGGTGTTTGTTGTGATCTGAGGAGGGTGAACTGGGAGGTACTGGGGACATGGAAATTTATTCATTGTCTTCCCACTTATCAAACTGGGGTCTCCTGCCATTTCTCCTCTTGGTTCCAACCTTTTCTCTAAGTCTTTCCTCCCTTGGGAGAGACTCTAGACTGCAGACCATTTGTGTTACATCTGATTTTTAAAAAATTATTTGTTATTGCTGACTCATATTGTTCATTATTGTTTTTAACTTTAACCTAGTCTTAGTACCTATATTACTTTTTAAAATAATAAAAATAACAAAATATTTAAGGAACAAGTGTCATAAGCCAGGAAAAATGACCAAATATTTGAAGAAAAAGAACCACCAGTCTACTAATCAGTCCCAACCATCAAACTCATGTGCAAGGGTAGAATAAACAGAATACCTCAAAAGTGTTACATTTCCATTTCATGAATGCTCTGCTTGTTCCTTTTCACACTTTTTAGCAGATTTTAGATATATTGTCTCAGTTTTTTAAAAGATGACAATATATTTCTTTAGTAGCTCAAGGCAAATTACATGA